AGCAGCAACGAACACAAGTTCGTTTGTCTACTGAAATAGTGAGGACAATTCATTTCCTCGATCAATAACGAGCACTGACCCAAGACTACTGGTACTACCCACCATTTAATTATTTGCATTAACAAAACTTAACGATACTATAACGCTATCATCTTGAGTATAGTAACCACCTATCCATGCCGACAGATTAAATTGCACCGTTTGGTTATCGATGAGAAGAGGATCAATCCAGTTAGTGAGGATAAGGATGGGTGTGGGTGTGGGTGTGTGGGTGGGTATGGGTGTGGATGTGGATGTGGATGTGAGTGTCTTCTCCTCCCCACATCCACACCAGACATCCACACTCACACCTCACACTCCACATCCACACCCACACCCCACACCCTACATTGCAGTTTTTCTGACTACTCCATTTTAGTTACTGTTAACTAGATAAAGAGATCGAGTGTGTTCTTTTTTCTTTGGAATTATTTTAGGACTTTTTTTATCTATTTTCTTTAGTTTAAGTCGATTCTGATCGCTTTTTTTATTTGATAAGTATTCTCGTGTGTTTCGTTTCCATTTTGATGATATTAATATGAACAGCAAAACTAATTAACTTTTCACGTTGATGCGATCTTGTGAATCTTCTCTGTAAAATTGTTGGACAAATTATACTTGGTATGGCTTTGTTAGAAGATATTCAGTCAAAATTCGATGTACCATTGTCTATGGAATGGAGCCGGCCATGGCAACAGCACGATACACTCAGTAGTGGCACATTTTCACCAACACTGAATTTTCTCGATTTTTTTCTTCAGTGATTTGTGAAGATCCTTCAGAGCGTTGTCAATTTGCTAATGTACAAATTTCACAAAACTGTTAAAAAGTATCTCTAGTACAGTCTACATTTGATATTTATATGTCATATTCGACTTACATTTGTCGTTTCACAGCTATGGATGACTTAATTCTGACCATTAATAAAAAGCCTTTGTATTTTAATATCTGTAGGCACAGACATTTATCTGAAAATATATAAAATAAAACTTCAAAAAGCATACTAGTATATTGTTAATAAAATTACATAAATCACTGACATTAAAATATATTCACTTTGTTTTTCATGGCGGACTTTTGAGACACCCTGAATATATCCATCGTAAATTCAAAATCAAATGCAAATAATAAAGCAAAGGAAAAAATTGGATTAAAATATTCAAACTATAAATCTTTAACCTCAAATTGATGATAATTCTACTTCGAACATTATAAATGATCAAATCGAATCATCACTTGATGAACATCTTTTATCGAATGAAGAATCTTGAAATTGTTCTCCATTATTTTCACGCTTTATCTCGTTGTTAACAATGAATCATCATTTGTAATAAATACTTTCCTTGGTCGATCAAATCGAAAAGAAAAACAACGAAAAAGAAAATAATGTAAAAAAACTATGAATGTATTTTCGATTAAATTGAATGTATTCCTATTTCATTTTATTCGTTATTTGCGATTAAATAAAATGATTTCGATAGATTTATTTGATTTTATGATTGAAATAGATGAGCAACTCTTAATACAATGATGTAAGCCAATGAAATACGCTTTGAATGTAAGGTCATTTGTTTTGTTCGCTGGTTTTATTAGGTACTTTCAAGATAAAGGAGTGCCGTGAAGAGATCAAAGCAGGAGAGGGATACTTGAGAAAATTGAATAAAGGTGTGCTTCAGACTGATTCAACGCAGTCAAAATTGTAGAACGTGGAAGTTTTTTGGCATCAAAAGCAGAGCAGATTTTTTTCGATTGTAAAAAGTGTACCAAAAGTCTTGTTGTTGTCTTCCATATATCATACAAAAGACGGATTTCAAGAGAAGCTCATAAATTCAATCAGAACTTAACACAATTTTCTGTATTATGAAAATTGTTACAGGCTCCTAGAGAATTCTACTTTCTCTTAGGTTATTCTGTACGGAATATCTTTCTGTGTTTAGTTCAGAAGTTTATTATTGCTTATGCCGGCGAAGGTGACTGCACTTGTGATAACTGTTAAAAATGAAATAACTTGTGGCTTTTGAAACTCGCAATCAGTTTTCAAATAGCTTTATAGACTTTGATCATCGCGTCAAATATTTCAATCAATTCAATTTTTGTCAGTATTCTTTTTACATCTTTTCAGAAATTTAATTATCATCGCTGAAAACGATATTGTTTTTTACGATTACTTGAGGAAAATGAATAAATAACTGTGAACTTTGTCGTCAGAAAGGCTAAAATGGTTCCAAAATGTTATTGACTGATCGCAGGAATCAATTAAATTTCCCAAATCTTTATAAAGTCGCAAAGAAGTAACCAGAAAATTTGTCTAAAGAAGGAGAAAGCTCCAGGAGAAATTTTCAAAAGCAAAAGGACTTATTCTCCTTCACTAGCGTCGTTGCTACGGATAGTTACGATCATCATGAAACGAAATTTTTTGGGACTCTCAGTGTTAACCATTGAAAAATCAGTTTATACTGTGTGGATGTTGGTTTTTGTCTGTGTTTCACCCACGTCAACATCCTCTACTCATAGTGATGTATATACTCTGTAAGTTTTAGAGCTTTTGATGAAAACAACCTTGAGAAACCCAGACGACAGAGGGTTCCCATTAAGCGAATTCAGATTGCAAAGGTGAAGCATCGTTTATGTGACTTGTTTGTAACCAAGTGAACATGTGCATGCTTTTTCAGCTTCTTTTTAGGGTGTGGGCGGTTTTTTCTTTGCATTATGTCTTATTGTTAACAGCAGAACAAATATAAGAGTAAGAGAAAGAACACGTGTGACTTCAGTTGCAACACATCAGAGGAAATAAAGTTCTTCGAATAGCGACAATGTCAACTCTGAAGTTTCGAAAAGTCGACAGTGAATGAGTAGGATTCGAACAATATTTCCCTTGTGTTTTTCTTCTAGTGATCAATGGCCATGAATCGTATGTAAATCAATAGTAGGCGATACAAATTAGGAAAGTATGATTTGAAAATTAATTATAACGTAGCATGGTAAGAAAAAAAATACTTTTTTTAAAGATGAAAAAGAACATACTGTGCTATTCTTGGAGGCACTTTTTCTTTAGTTTTTTTTTTTTTTTTGATGACAAGTAATTAAGTTTTCATTCTGTATTGAGAGTTTCTATCCGATCTATTATCAGCAGAAAATACTTATATGAATTAAAAGATGCTAAAAGTTTTATAAAAAAAAGGTGAATAAGCATCTTTCGAATAAATTTCGATCGAAATAAGATAGAGAGAAAGAGCTGTGGTTTTCATTGTTAAAGACGCATCGAATCATAAAGTGCAGATTTTCAAGTTTTCAAGCGATATTTTTGAAAATGAATGTATCTCATACGGTGACCTACAGTTAATTTTCAATTATTACGTGTTCATTTAAAATGCCAATCGAAGATCTACAATTGGGCAAGGCTTAGATTTTTAACATTAATCCTGCAAGAGTTTTAGGCATTTAGCCAGAAAATTGAAGCCGATTTTACTAGGAATTCCTGTGAAAAAGTCACTTTTCTGCTTTTTCTGTTATAAGAAGCCAATTGTTCGGTTATTTACGTTACTTAATTTTAGAGAGTTGATTGAAAAAGCTTCAGAAAATATATTAGGAATACTTATTATACATGATTCTATGCGGCTTCATTTCTTCTTTCCAATTGAGTAAATCGTCTTTATTTATCTTGTTTCTATCTAAAGTTATTCAAAAACTATCCACTGACATTTCTGAAAATGACCATTATTTTCTACCTGAAAGACCCTGTGCATATTTCACAGCTGTTTCTCTATAAACTTTTTATCCATCGGTCTTTGAGTTTTGACTCGAATCCATTTTTCCTTACAAAAATATCTAGCATATTATAAAAGAACGTAATAGCTGTAGATAAGACATGAGATGATGAGTTCCAATTTTCAAGAAATGACTATGAGAAAAATTCCATGTGCATTTAATTTAATGCTTTGAGAAATAAGCGCAGAAAATTAATTTCAATATAAAAAGAATATAGAAATAGTGTATATTTTTTTATTTGTTGATGACTAGCGCAATTAAACTGTTGTTTTAATTTCCCATTGACTTCTAGAATATATTTAAAAAAAAACAGTAGCTGGCTCACATTTGTGTAAGTAAAAAAAATGGATAAAATTGATATAAGGGTGTGGATGTGGGTGTGGGTGAAGCCCTTGTCTTCATCCATGTATATCCCACGCTCTATATACTTGTCATTATCAAATGAATTGACTGACCCAAATCAACCTACCCTCTGAAATACATATTTCATTTCGGTATACTTTTTATATTAAAAAGTGAATTTCCCAATGTAGTTCCGCATCAAGCTAGAAGTTGTACCCTTCAATTGAATGTCTAAAAATGAATTTCAACTATATATCATCGACATTTAATCTGAACCCTTGCAGAAATGTTCTTTAGCTTGTTTCATCTATTGGATAATGATGGGCAGATATTTGAATTTCCTCGAAATTGAAATTTACCATACCGTCAGATAAGATCGGAAAATTCTACAGAATTCCATAATATTCTAAAGATATCTTTCAAACTCAAAACTAAAGTTTAATCTTTGATCTGATAATACATAGTGATATCTCCATAAAGGCTCCAGAAGGCTGTGGAACATTCCAGAAATATTTAGTTGATTTTTGCAGGATTTAGATGGTTCCTATAATATTGCAGAAGTATTTGACTACGCCATTTAACGTCGAATCTTCAATATTGAACCTGGCAAGACAGACAAACAGATAGACACACACTTTTTACGAGTGAGATTAAAGGGAAAGTGCACACGGTACTCATCGACACCCGAAGCATTCAAAACAGTTAATTTTTTTACGAGAATTATTCATCACGTAGATTAAATCTTGCACATAGGTGAAATATAGATGCAAGTTGGCTATAATGTATCGGTTTTAAAAAACTGACCTTTTATCCATCCATGTTTTCATTTTGTAGATTTACTTCTGACGGCAATGTTAAACTTTCCTCACCCTAACCAGAAGCTACTTCCCGACCAGATTCAATGCGTATCACCAGCGCATCAGTCATCGGACCCGAAAATAACTGATCGACTCAAAGGTTCTCTGTTGGGCCTAGCCGTTGGTGATGCACTAGGCGCAAGTGTTGAATTTCGTCCACGACAGTATCTCGTCGATCATCCTATAGCAAATATGCAATCGGGAGGGACATGGGGTCTTCAAGCTGGACAATGGACAGATGATACATCGATGGCTTTGTGTCTCGCTTCATCACTCATTAGTCGAAAAGAGTTTGATCCGTACGATCAGTTAGTACGCTACAAGTGGTGGTACAAGCATGGTTATCTATCTTCAACTGGACGCTGCTTTGATATTGGCAATGCAACGCATAAATCATTGGATGAATTTTGTCGTCGTCAGAATGAGTGTCAACGACGTTGGGGGACAGTTAGTGAAGAACAAATGGACAGCTTTTCATATGAAGAAATGCGTCCATCAGGTTTTGACGTCAATTGTGGTGGATCAAATGCCAATGGTAATGGTGCGCTAATGCGTCTTGCACCGGTACCACTCTTTTTCTATCGAGAACCTGCAAAGGCAGTCGAATTCTCAGGACAAAGTGCCCGTCTGACACATGGCGATCCAAGAGCAATCGATGCATGTCGTTACTACGGAGCTCTCATCGTTGCGGCAATACACGGCGAGAGCAAGGAAAAGTTACTCGATCCTAACTTTTATTCAGCACATCGAGCTTGGTTTGGAAGGAATGAACTTCACAGAGAAGTACTTGCTGTAGCAAGCGGTTCATTCAAGCAAAAAGATGGATATTCAATGGGAATTCGAGGTAGTGGTCAAAGTGTTAAATCACTCGAAGCAGCTTTGTGGGCATTTTGGAGTGATGAACAATCTTTTGCAAAAGGAGTACTCAAAGCAGTGAACCTCGGTGATGATACGGATACAACAGGAGCTATCTATGGACAACTAGCAGGTGCTTACTATGGTTCTAATCAAATTCCACAAGATTGGACGCAAAAGCTCTATGCGAAAAATTTAATTTCCTGCATCGCTGAATGGCTACAAGTATTAGGAAATTCGCGCTCTCCAGCACAGCCATCACAGCAACAACTATCAGGGGATTCGCGCTTTCCAGCACAGCCATCACAGCAACAAGTGTCAGAAAATTCGCGCTTTCCAGTACAGACATCACAGCAACAAGTAGCAACCAGGATGTCTCCACCAACTGGAACACAACACGATCAATACAACAAGACTCATCAAAATCTATCAAGAGTCGTTTCAAATCCAACTCATTATTTACCTGTTATAAATCCTCATTTGACAAAAAAGAGCATAGCACAGAATAATATACCTACTAGAAAGCCTGGTCCTGCTACTAATAAAACCACAAGTAACGCAAAAAACACCCAAAACCAGTCGTCTTGGAGTTGGTTTAGACATGAACAATAATTTTTTTTTTAACAGACTGAAATGTGATATGGAGTCTAATCTGCTTGATTGTACTTTACCTTAAATTTATACAGTTGATTGCTCATTCTGAAAAACTTTGTACCCTAATCACAATTCTTCTTTGATAATAAACACGAGCCCAATGAATAAATATTGATCGTCAGTAAAATCTCGTCTCCATACAAGAATTTCTTAACGAATTCATTGATTTGTCCTTGTTTGTTTCATATGGCATCAAATACGAAAAAACCGTTTTTGCTTGATAACATTGATAAGAAAAAAAATGAAAGAAACAAGTCGAAGTAAATATATTCAATCAAAACACGAGAGAAAACTCTCACATCATCACAAAAATTTCCGATGAATACCTTCACTGAGTTGATAGATTCATTTGGAAAAGTTTGGATAAAAAAGAAACGATAATCGATACGATACAGTCGAATAGTATTGAAAGAAAGAATCATAGCAACATAAATATGTGTACATCTTTTTTTCGATTAGCTTTATGATCCTGATGTTGCCCTCGTTTTATCTGTTGTCCTACTCACACACGAAATGACATGTTTCGCAAAGAATAACATGATTTAATAGAATAAGACTCTTTTTGATTCTCAGTAGAAGGCATACCATGCAACTCGTCTGATCATGGAATATTGATAGATATTTTACTGAAAACAAATAAAATTGAATTTCTCCAGTGTCTTGTACATCAAACTATGTGCCATTTAGCGTGTAAATGGACAATAAGCGTGTGGGTGTGGGTGTGGGGTGTGGGGGGGGTGTGAGTGTGAATGTGGATGGGTATGGGTGTAGATAAAAACAAGACGTACACCCACACCCTCTAAAATGTTTCTTGTTGACTTCATTTGGTCGAATACATGACTATGATAAGCTAATTGTACCATTGCTTCGTCAAATGTTACAACTAGAAAAAGTTATGTTATTCCTTACGGTTCGTGGTCGAATTTCATTCATTGATGAGAATCATCTGGTTAATTACATCCTTAGTAACATGTCATATCTACATACCTTTATCTTCAATATCATCACTGAAATTTTCACACCAAACCCAGAACTTTTGTCAACACCTGATGAAATTGGACGAATGCTTATCCAAAGAGGATATAAGATGAATTGTTATACTGACTATACTAAATTTCGCATGGGTCAATGTCATATTTACTCACTTCTGTTCACTATGGAACGCATTGATACGCATAGTTGGAAATTTCCTGGTGGTTTATTCATGACTGTTCGTTACTTAGTGGCGCATGATTAATATTGTCCATTTGAATATGATTTCTTTGTTCGAATCTCTCAAGCTTTTCCATTGCCAAACAAATTAGCAATACGTAATAAAAATGAACAAGAGAAGAAGTCAATACATCAACAAGAGGACCATGAACAAATATCTTCGATTATTGAATATTCTCATCTTATGATACTTGATGTCTCAAGTTGTGATATCGATTACGTGAAACAGTTTCTTTTCGACTTCAACACACGTTTACATTATCTTAACACATTACATACCAAATATATAGGCTTGGTGATCGTAACAGAGAATTTCACATATCATGCTGCTCTTGCTAATTGTTCAAAATTAAAACATATTATCTATGATTCAAAATCATTGATATACCCAGAAAATTTCTACCATTATTTTTCTTTATTGTGTTGTAAATAAAAATTTCTTTATCCAATTGTAATATTTTTTTTTTATATATCAATTTAAAAAAAGAGAATGAAAGTGATCTTATTATTGCTAGGGGAGGGAAGTTACCGTTACGTTGCCAAGTAACTAGTAACTCCAAAGTTACTAGTTACCAAGTAACTAGTAACGCCGAAGTTACTAGTTACCAAGTAACTAGTAACGCCGAAGTTACCAGTTACCGAGTAACTAGTAACTTTGGAGTTACTAGTTACCTGGTAACGTAACTAGGTAGTAACGGTAACTTCCCTCCCCTAATTATTGCTCGTTATTTAATTGTACGGATGATGTTGACATATGACTTGTTCGCAATGGAAATTATACTAATGTAAATGTTAAGTGCTTTTCAAGAATATACGTATATAATGAAATATGATGATGAATTAGAATACAAACTGAATGAATATGATTAAGATGGTCGAACACCATTACATTATACTACTGATAACGATTTACTTCATGTTGTTCAATTATGTATTAACAAAATCTAGAGCGAAAAATGTTTCTCAAAATGCACTAAATCCATTAATGTGGGCAGAATTAGAAGCAAAAAAACATCTAATTGATTTTTCTTTGAAAATAATTGTTCATCAGATTTACCATGGTTTGAAACAAAAGAGTTACTTTTGCAGTCGTATCCAAGTGAGTATACACACAAGCATTTACATCTGAACAAAGTTTGAAAAATTTCTATATAAATAACCGGGAATGAAATTTTCGTGATGCAATTCTCCGAGATCTTGGTGGTTGTTTTTCGAATACATCTTCAATCGAAACAGCTATGGGCTAATGGTTTTCAGCATTAGAAAGAGACTGATATTCTGCATCTGTCTATATACTAGTTAACAGAATTGGTTCATGATTCTAATGAACACTCAGTAAAATTCAAGAAAGTAATTAAAGGACTTTGAAAAATGTATAGAATTTCATTAATAAAGACTACATTAATATTCGCCTAGTCAACATCTGTAACTCTACATAAACTCGAACTTTTCATATTTTATAATTCAAAAGATATATGCTTAATAGTGATCGTTAAAAATGTTCGAAACCATCTTTCATAAAATTTTTTCAAGTTTGAATAATTCTATGTAGAAGTAAGTGTGAGTAAAGAAATGATGGAAAGTCACACCCCACATCCCGAATTTTATGTATAAGAAAGAGAGTGGAGTACTACTCTTGCATACTCTTTAATAGTCATAGTGAGTCTAAACAAGATGTTTTTCTAGTAAACTATAACACTAAAGTATGTAAATAAGCCTATTTTGAATAATAACAAACTCATGTTTGTTGTGACTCTCCAGTATCGCAGTGAATATATTCCGATTCGGACAAAATTATTTTTCTTGAAATTTTGTTTATTAATAGCTCTGATTATGACACTGTTTTTGTCAAAGTTTGATCTTGCAGTACGACTTCCTTATAAAGATATGAGTACAATACTGAAAAGTAGGATTTGTAATAATGTTGAAACTTTTTAGAAAAAATTTCCAACTTAGAAAGTTTTGGCATATGTTTTAGTTCATAAAGAGCATTCTAAAAAAATAAAGCTTTCAATTATTGTGAGTGGTAGAGAATTTAATCCTCTATCTACCGATGTTTAAAACAACTCGTTACATTTTGAAATGAGCAATTTCGATAATCTACTTTGAATCTCATTAAAAAATATCATCTTTCGATTTGTTTTTTGGGTTTGTTCGATGTCTCGTTGTTTCTTTTATAACTCGATTGTTGCAAGTCGTTTTGAACTGAGAATTTTACCATTGATGTATCTCAGTAATGTCTGCGTTCAGTAAAAATTTCATTGAATTTGGAAAACTTTTGCGAAACTGGCGATATTCTTAATAGTCATTTCAGAATTTCTGCGACATCTTTTGTCTTACACTTTCGAAGATGCTCAATCGAACTATACGTTTAGCAAATAACTCATAATTTTCTCTATTAAAACCGATTCATATTTTATTCATTCAGCAAAAAAAAACAGTATAAAAGATATTGTTTACAATCATAAACGATTTCAGAAATCGTAAACTCTTACTGATAAGAGTCGCCATGGTAGTTATTTTTGTCTGTTGTTAATAATATATTTTATTGATTGTCTCAACTCATATGTTGTATATAGATTTTATATGATTTTTGTAATAGATTTTGACATGAATTCAAAATGCTAATAACAATGAAAGTCATTCGAGAATGTTTGTCTTATTTAATTGCTACAAATTAATTATAAACAATATATTTTAGAAATTATGAAAATATAACTTAATATTTGAGTAATGTAGTCAATTCAGATTTTATCTTTGTAATTGTCAATCATGTTAGATTATATCATTGTCAATGGTTTAAGAATGATAGTATAGTTATTTTTGTTTGCAAAAACTTTCCGTTCCGATTTACGGATATAAGTGAGTTTAATGACAATTATGATATGACAGTCATTATATTTTTTGTTTTCTTCTCAAAAGCAAAAGTAACTTGTAAAAGAAGTTCCTCAATTAATTAATGGCTTTGGAGAAGAGCTTGGATCCTTATTTTATAGCTGCTGAAATATTGTGTTATTATTGGATTTTAAACACCAATACCCACATTTCTAGTTTGAAGTACTCATAGCTCATTAGAATCGAAAGTAATCAATCAGTTGAAGGATTTCTCTTGTTCATCATGCATTGCAAAAGAAAAATATGATTGCATTTATACGGTATATTTACTTCTAAGAAACCATGAAGATGTATAGGATGAATTTTTTTGTTAAAAAAAAAAACTAAAAATATAACAATGTTAATCTTATTTTATTATGTTTTAACAAAAATTTATATTTCAAATGAAATATTTTGCTTAAATCTCGAGTAATATGAATGATGTCGCTCGTTATCGAATCGAAATAAAAATCATTCTTTTTCTGATTGGCTTTTCATTTCTCTCTATTACATAGAAGAAATGTAATCTATCTTTTCTCTTTATTATTATTATTATTATTCATCAATTTTTATTTAATACATGAATATTTATTTATATAGTATGTTGATTGTTATGTTACACGCCCTGATTATTTTTAACTATATTATGAATAGAATTTTCAATATATGAAAAATCTTCTAAAAAGTTTTGTAAGCATATTCATATGTTACTATTAATAGATATTCAATAGGTAGGATCGAATAGAAAAATTGTTTTTCTCTTACAATATAATCTGATTTTATTTCGAATAAAAAAAACCCTAATTGTTTTATTTTATAGATATCAATGTTTTTTAGTCGTTGTTTATATAAAATAGCTGAACAAGATCTTGGTCGTCATTTAAATTTACCATTTATTGATAAACTTCGTGTATATGTTCGTGGTGGACATGGTGGAAATGGTTTAAAAAAATATGGTGGTATTGGAGGACAAGGTGGTCATGTTCTTATACGTGGTAAACGTCATTTAACATTAAGAAATGTTTATGAAAAAAATTTAGCTAAACGTTATATAGCATCTAATGGTGAACATAGTCATAAAACATGTTTAAATGCAAAATCAGGTGAAAATTTAATTATTCATGTACCATTAGGTATACAAGTTTTACATGATAATGGTCAATTAATAGATGAAATAAATGATATTGATGATCAATGTATTGTAGCACATGGTGGTGATGGAGGAAATTATAAAACTTATTTTCAAGGACAACCTGGTGAAGCTACAATGATTAATTTTGATTTAAAATTATTAGCTGATGTTGGGTTAGTAAAACAAACAAACAAAAATTTTAATTATTTTTCATCGTTTGAGAATAATATAGGAAAAGATAAATGACCGAAAAGTACTTCGATAATAATGTTCATTCATTCTTTCAATTTCTAGAAAGAAGAAGAAGAAGAAGGTAAAAGACATGATGTCAATTAAGATAATTTGCTTAATTCCTGTAAAAAACAGACATGCAAAATAAACTCTATCATTCCAGAATAATTGTTCTTAATTCTCCAGGAAAAATATCTGAATCTTTATTCATAAATAAATAAAAATTTGAATATTACGAATATTCTTAATTCAAAATTTGTTGAAGTTTAATTTGATTTTTTTTCTTCTTATCTCATTGTCTTTCTTTTAAATTAAATAATAAGTATAAAATTCACGAGAAAAAAAAATAAATCATATAAACAATCATTATTGTAATATTCAGCAAAAAAACTTTTGTATGGATCAGTACGTCATTCCAGAGCATGAATAAAGTTCTACGTGATCAGCATCTTATTATTTTGAGTTCCATAAATAATTATCAATTTTGCAATATGCATTTGATAATTTATATACAAAAAAAAAATGTTCAAATTTAGAGAAAGAAATTTGGACCTTCTTCCTCTAGACCTTGCAGATGTTAATATTATACGATCAAAGACTGTATTTAAATAACATTTGAACTACTTCCTTTATTGTATTTCTGAAGAGTTAAGTAAAAGAATGATGAAAAAATGTTTCCTAAAATAGATACAATAAAACATTAGTATAATAGCAGCTACATGATGTTTTATATTTTGAATCTCTCTAGAGATTATCCTAATAATTTTCATAATAATGAAAAAAAAAAGCTCCAATGTTTTTTATTTAGTTTTGTTGGTTATCCAAATGCTGGTAAATCAACACTTCTTTCAATGCTTTCTCGTACACAACCAATAATATCATCTGTACCATTTACTACTTTACATCCTCAAATAGGTTCTGTTCTATTTGATGATGGTCATTCATTTACAATAGCTGATTTACCAGGTCTTATTGAAGGATCACATATAAAAATGGGACTTGGTTCAAGATTTTTAAAACATACATTACGATCAAAAATTCTTTTATTTATTATTGATATAAATGGATTTCAATTAGAATTTCGTTCACCATTACGAACAGCATTTGATTCAATTGTATTTTTAACAAAAGAACTTGAATTATATGAACCATTATTATTAAATAAAACAGCTATATTAGCTATTAATAAAATTGATCAATTAGATAATAAAAAAAAATTAACTGAACTTTATTATTCATTAAATAATTATAAACAAATATTAAGTAATGAATATGAAGATAAATGGTGTCCAAAAAATTTTTTTCATTTTAAACATATTGTTGAAATATCTGGTAAATATGGTACAAATTGTGATCATTTATGTTCTATTTTAAGACATTCACTTGATGAATATACAAATCGAGAACAAAAGAAAATAAAATTTTCATTATTGTAGATATAAAAAAAAAAAACAAACTAAAATTATGACTAATGATTTTATTTATTGTCGTACACAATCAGATTTTATTGATTCAATATTTGATACAGTTAAACAACATGATGGTTATTTATTAAGTGAATTACTTAATGTTATACGTATGTATCAAATAGATGATCTTGATTTTAATGATTATATTGAACCAAATTTGGATCAACAATTAATTAATGATCAAGATTTTCTTTGGAAATTATTAAGTCAACATCATTGGAGTGTTTGTTATTATTTACATTTAAATGATATTGATCGAGCTTTTCGTCATCAATCAAAAAAATTTTCTTGTCTTATGTCAATATTTAATGGATATTTAAATCGTTTATCTAATACAACATTTTCTGATGATATTCATGATACAGATCATCAAATAAATTCATCATTAAATGATGATGAACCATCATGGTTATTACCGGTTTTTAATCGTATTGCACATGAATTACGTTTACTTGCTTTACCAGGAAATGATGAATTAAATAATGATGATAATGATACATCAGATAATATGAATACAAATAGTACAATACAAACATATAATAGTCAATTAATAAGTGCATTAGGTTCTATACAAAGATTTCCATTAACAAATAAATTACGAAAAGTTGGCATTTTTATTATTGTTAATCAAATGTTAAAAGCATATTATGCTTTACATAAATTTAATTTATGTACTTATTTCATTTCAAAAAGTAAATAGTTTTATTCATTATTAAACAAATATGTACTAATAGATTCAAATGAGTCTTACGTTTTCAGAAGATTTTAATCTAAACTTTTATGCATATAGAGCATTCAATTAGATTAGTTCCTATAAAAAAATACTCAGAAGTTTTAAACAAAGGATCTTTAAGATATAAGCTTTTAACAATTGTATATTGAATATACTAGACATAGAAGAGGATTTATATCTTAAAAGTCTTATATATCGTAAAAGATAGTTTAAACAAGTCCAAATTATTTTCCCTTGTAAGTTATCTACGTATTTTTTTTTTTTGCAAATATAAACTAATAGATTTTTTATAATAATTCATTATACTTACAAACAAACTAGAAAAAGTCTAAAAAAGGTTAGTATGTATGGATCTTTGAAGCTGAAAACTTTACTAATAAATATATATGTTGAGTCTTAGAATATCTTGAAAATTTCAGCTGACAATGATGCAGACATCTCGATTTAGAGATGTAAGTCGCCGCCGCTGCCGCCACGGAATCGTAGATAATTTTAAGAATTTTTTTTAGCGCCGTCGGTGCAGAAAAACATAAAGTATAGCAGTCACCGCCGACGGTGTAGATAAACATAAAGTCTATTAGGCACCCCCACTGTTTTACCCGTCGGCTTACATGTCTAATCTCGATAAAAGAATATTCTCTTCGGCTGAAATTTTCATGATATTCTATGGATCATTAGATCTGATGAATAACTAGAGTTCAAAGAGTCATAGGAACGAACCCTTAGAGAATGTTGTGGGAACCACTAACACACTCTTGTAGACGCGATATTGTCTTAAGCAGCGCACGTCAATTCTAATATTCTATAGACATACTGATTCGTCCAAATAATGGTTTATATAAGTCTGTTTTTTTATTATGATCCATTATACTTAACAAATAGAATATCTAAAAGTTAGCAAAGTGAATTTATGGATTAATTCAAGCGTTATATAATAAATATTAATCATTGACAGAAACTAGAGACAGTTATTATCTGGAAAGTATTTGATAGAAAAATTAATAAGAAATGACAAATTATTATGTGTCATTTTTTTCCCATCTGTCTATAATATATAAAATAATGTCCTTCTTGGAGAATGTTTCTATTTATGATATGTACTAATGAAAGAAAAAAGAACAGAATTCTCAAGTTATGTTTTGTTCTTATGTTATTTTCGGATTATGTAAAAAGAGTCCCTAATGCATGTTTATTTTTTCCGTGTATGTGCAATTTTTTTTTGTTATTGAATAATCAAACAAATTATGAAATTAATTTTATTCAAAATAGATCATAATTATAAAGATTTTATTGATAAAAATTTACTTGTTTATTGTTAAGAATGATTATTTTTCTGTTTGATTTATCTTTCTCAATCGTCTTGATAACATATATTGGCAATACGATTGAGAAAAATAGATAAAAGAAAAGAAGTTCGCCTTAAGTATCAAAGCTAATCCCTAGACATTCTTAAAAAAAAATATATGTTTATTTTTTGTTTTTCTAGCTGATCGTCCATTAAAACAATATATGCAAGAAGAAAATACACAACAAGAACGTCGTTTTTCATCTTATGTATTAACATATCGTTATTTTCTTGGTAAACATTTATTACTTCAACATAATTATAAATCAGCTAGTGAACATTTTGATTATGTATTTACAAATTGTTTGGATTCAAAAAAAAGTGGTAGTATTAAAAATAAACAACAATCATTATTATATTTAGTTCTAGTTAAAATGTTACATGGTTCAACACCTAAAATGGATATACTTGAAAAATATCAATTAAATGAATTAATTGATTTAATTGAACCAATACGTATTGGTTCATTAAAATTATTTATTGATAAAATAAAACAATATGAACAATTTCTATTTAATAGTGGTTTATTTTTTTTAATTGAAAATTTAAAATTAATAACAATAAGAAATTTATTTCGTATGTATATATATCAAATTGATCAACAACAAACAGATAAAATACCATTAGAAACAACATTATTATTATTATTAAATTATGGTTTTGATAAAGAAAATTTTTTTACAATTAATGAACTTATTGATATATTAAATAGTATGATACAAAAAGGGATGATTAAAGGTTATATATCATATAAATTTCGAACATTAGTTGTTAGTAGAAAAGATCCATTTCCAAAAAATTTTCGTTTTACTTCATTATTAAATTAAATATATCATGTAATTTTTTTTTTTTTTTTGTATGTATATATATATATTCTAGATAGACTTTTCCTATATTGTTTATCTTTTATAATCATGTCTCATCTACCATCATCTCATGAAGGAGATCATCATACACATACATATATTCCAAGACGAGAACGAACACTTTCGCAGTAAGATATTCAATATTTACGTATGATTTTTACGTGTGATTGCATGAAGGATAAAGACAGTTTTGATACACTTCGGATTTTAGGATCTTCAGGAAATTTTTGGATAAGGGTGTATCATTTATTTTACGACTTTTTTTATGATCTAGTCCGGTCCATAATGACCCGAACTTGAAGAAAATTTTGTCTTTTTTCTAAATGGAGAGCTATTGTATATTGTTTGTCTTTCAGAAAAAAGTGATGATCCGGGGGGAAGGGGCGAAGGAGCGCGCAAACTTTGCTCCTCAAGGATGAGAATAAAATTTTTGGGCCGGGCGACCTAACCCGACAAAATATTTGATTGGACGAGGTGGTCCATATCGAGGCTTGTTTTTTTGTTCTGTTTGGAATATCAGATGTTGTATACAAAATGAAAACTATCAGTACGAGATGCTATTGATAGGTACAGTAGACTGATGGTTTATTGTCAGCATTGTATCTCTATAGGTGAGTTCACCTTCTACGAAAATTTTCATTTATCTCAATCGAATTTGTAATGTTTTATTATATTTTTCTAATTGCAAATTGAATTTTAATTTAGATGTGAACGTACATTACAAAGTCCAAGTTATGAAGGTGTAATTGATGAATTTTGTCGTGAAAAAGGTTATGGTCATATTCAACCAAAAGATAATCCAAAAGAACTTATTTTTGTTCATGTATCTGAGTAAATATTATTATTTTCTTTTTTTTTTTTTTTTATTTTATATTTATTTCTTTTATTAATCTAGTATTGATGATGATTATGTTCCAAAAAAAGGTGATATTGTATCATTTAAAAAAATGTTAATGCCACCAAAAAATGAAAAAGTTATGGCTGTTCATATAAAACTTCTTCATTTAGCTGAAGGTGTTAAACATGAATCATGGGAAGAAGCTGTTGAACATGATATTGAACATCGACGACCATCACGATCAGAGTCACTTCAACTTACACATGAATCAAATGTTCATCCTGATCATGTTCAACATTCAATTTCTCATGCTGATTAAAAAAAACAAAATGATATCTTTATGATTATTAAAGACTAGATTGATTGACTTCACAAAAAACAAAAAAAAAAAGTTTTTGGTTTTTTCTTTCTTGTTCATATACATTTGCATGTCTTGTGTGATCATTTTTTTTTTTTTCTGCTCCTATGATTATGATGAGAAAAAGAACGGAATATATAATTCTTTCTTACTTGGGAAAAAAAACAAACAAATAGACCAACACATCAGTCTAATTAATTTCTTTTCTTTTTTTTTTT